CCGAAGTCGCGCTGACATAAGCCACCCCTAATTGAGTCACTGTTGTAGGACTGTTGGCGTTTCTATTCGTATAGTTGACGAACGCGTTGAACGACTGGTTCATCCATTGCCAAAATACCACGGCTGTGGTCGTTCTGTAACAATTATTGTAAATAAATGGCATACCATTAAGTTTCCCGTTTTTGCACAGTGAACGACAAAGCATAATTTGTAAAATAAAAGTAAAACTTTTAATATAATTATCTAATTTTTTACTTTTTGTAATATCAGTATATTCATATGTCTGGGAATTTTGTTGCAATAAAAATTTTTAATGAAATTCTTATTAATTAACTAATTCTCCAATTAACTTTTAATTGTAATCGTCTAAAACAGCGATGATCAACCTGCAGGCCTCTAAAATTACTTTTATGATGTATTTCAATCAGCTGAAGTGAACAATTTTTAAACAATTTTTCAAAACTTCAGCACAATACATGAATCTACAAAATAATGTTCAAAAAGACTACGGTTTCATTTCACATAAGATATGAACAATAGTATCAACTCATAAACAAGCATCTGCATATCTCCCTCGAAAAACATGCACCTTAATTTTTCTCCACTAAAATATATCCATTTATCATACACCTATATTATCTACAAATTTTTCAATCACCTTACTTACTTAAAAATAAAATAAAAACCCTCCCAATTTGAACTTTTCAAAATCGTCAATCCACATTCTCTCCCTCAAAAATTTACAAATAATAAAAAATTCCTCTCCACGAATCAACGATACTTTTAAACGAATAAACTAGTCTTTTCAAGATTTCATAGAGTATTTTAGCTAGCTGCGAAAAAGAAAAAATGAAAAAAAGGTTGCTCATCGCTGGTCTAAAATGAACTTTTGAATTCCTCGCATTGTACAAGCGCCGTTCATCGCAACGGCGTAGCTTAGTGCGGCAGAAGGACTCTTGGTGGTATATAATTCACTTGTAGAATTGCAGCATGGCACCGGTGATGGCCATCCCGCCTGGCACTTGGAAGGACATTCTGCCGAAGACATTCTGCAGGTCACCGGTGTCGGGATGAAAGGCCGACTCGTAAAGCTTCTTAGCATAGATGATTTGCTCCCTGGTTGTACCAGCTGGCTCCTTCCCAACTCTAAGGGATAAACAGACTATTGATTTTTCGTAGACTCAAAAAGAAAAGAGAGAGAGAAAAAAATATAAGAAAGGAAGAAAGAGAGAAGAAAAACCAAGGGTGCGTGAGATTTTACATCGTGATCTTGAACAATATGTGTGTACATGTGTGTGTGTGTGTGTGTCTGGGAGGGAAATTTATAGAAAATCTCGGTGAACGTACGGGGAATTTTTGATCGTCTGGAAATGATTGCATAAAATAATCGTTCTTACACGGGCAATTCGGGATGATAAATGAATGATTTATTCAAGATGGAAAAGATGTATATGTACTTTGCACAGTTTCTTCCCCTCTTTTCCTTACGTCGATTATGCAAATTGAAGCTGTTGATAGAGTGACTCTTTCATTATCCCGAACAGCGTATTTCCCTAATTAATGCTCTGCAGAGTGATCGGTTGAAGAAGTTTCCTTTCTACGATATTGAAATTTCATTACTTCCTTTTGCCGTAATTTCAGGTTAAAAAGAAAGAAAAAAAAGAAGAAAATTGAAATACGACGCGATCGAGATGAGTTGTAAAGCGTAGAGTGTGTATACAGGGTGGAAAAAAGGTTGCTGGAATTCCACGGAGAGAAAGGGGATTGTGGAGGCGCGAATGAAATTTCAAGATCAGCTCAATGATATTTTAAATAGAACGCTATATTTAGAGAGTGACAGTCGTTTTTTTTTTTTTTTCGTGACCGTTTCGAAACTAGAAATTTTTCTCGAAAACGACTGATTGGACTTTCTTTTTTTTTCCTCTCACTACGTTTAACACGGTTTTCGGTGTTTCTTTCTTTCTTTCTTTTTTAATAATTAAATTTGTAGAGAATAGAAGATACTTTATTGTAAAATAATTACGAAACCGTTACTTTAATCCTTGAAACGTTTAACACCGCGAACTGTGTGCATCGATAACGTTCGTTATACAACGATATTTCGTCGAGCGTGATAAACGCGACGAGAAAAGACTTCCTTCTTCGGTCACCTATAGCTGAAATCACGGTTCTCTTATCAATCGCAGAGAAAAAAATATTCCGGAAACACTCGAAAATTCGAGCGAAATATCGACGGTAATTGTTAGAACAGGCTTTTCCGTATCACTGTATCTTCTATGAAGATAACAACGATAATAAATTTCTTCTGTCTCGAGTATCAACGTCGTCCTTGATAGAAACGTGGAAGAAGAAGAAAAAAATTGCACGAAAAGTTCCAGCGACGAGCTATTTTTAAGTAATCACATCTATAATTGTACAAGATGACCCATTTCGATTTGCAAACGCATCGAATAGTTTGCAGAAAAATCAACAATCGCGTTTACTTAAGAATATTGCTACGATAAATGTTTGGACGATAACGAGTAAATATTACGGTACTCGTAATAGTTTACCGCGTACACCATTATGAATTATACACACGTGACGAATTGATCAAATTTGCCGTAATTTCGATGAAATTAATGCGGTGTATAGTCATTGAAAAACTATTCGACACGTATTTTTCCTTTCGTCAGTAGTCATCCATTTCGAAGAAGTGAACATAACCTTCAAAATTTGGGATGAAAAATGTATTTTTGAAATACCTCAGGAATTAAGCGATTTAGGGAAAAAGTTTTTATATTTTTTTGCAT